TGAAATTTAGACTGTTATTACAGGAAACTTGCAACTGGAGATAAAAAGCAATAGAGGAAACCACCTTTCAAAAAGCCAAACTGAGACTGCGTAACTGCTTACCTGCCAATTCTAAACAAAGTCCTAATTGAATGACAGGTTGGCAACTCCAGTTGGTCTTAAACAACACCAGTAATTTAGATTAATTCCACTCTGAGTGCCAAACAGCTCTTACCATCAGGAAGTTTTTCCTAATGTTTAAGTAGAATCTTTTTCCTGCAATTTGAATCAATTGCTTCATGTTCTAGCCTCCAGAGCAGCAGAAAACAAGCTTGTCTCCTCATTTTTTTCGTGTCAAGAGCGACTTGAGAAACTGCAAGTCGCTTCTGGTGTGAGAGAATTAGCAATCTGCATGGACATTGCCTAGGGGACACTCGGATGTTTTACCATCCTTGTGGGAGGCTTCTCTCATGTCCCCACATGGGGAGCTGGAGCTGTCAAAGGGAGCTCATCCATGCTTTCCCAGGATTCGAACCTCTGACCTGTCGGTTTTCAGTCCTGTTGCCACAAGGGTTTAACCCATTGTACCATCTCCTCAATGTGACATTCTTTCAAATATTTATTCATGGCTCTCAACCCTCTTTTCTCCAAGCTAAACATTCCCATCCCCCTAAGCTGTTTTTCATAGGACTTGATTTCCAAACCAATAATTCCATCACATAATTGATTTCCTTGCTCCATTCCTCATCACAGCTTTTCACTGGCAGAGGAGGAAAAAAATCTCTGTTTATTAATGCCAAGACATAGGATAAGCATCACATACATTGGCTAAAATCTTGTTCTTTAGCTCACGTTAGAGTAGACACATCAAACCATTTGTTTAACGGTAAGTCAATATGTAAGTAAGTCTAGCTGTTAAATAAATCTACTCTAGTCAGCACTAACAATTGCTTTATGTGCATGAAAAGAGAAGGTAACAGAAAGATTTTGGGTTCCCGTCCATTTCCTTTTGATTGTAATAAACAAGGTGAAGGTAAAGGTTTTCCCCTGACATTAAGTCTAGTCGTGTCCGACTCTGGGGCTTGGTGTTCATCTCCATTTCTAAGCTGAAGAGCCGGCATTGTCTGTGGCTGGTATGACTGCATGGAGGGCCATTACTTTCCCACCAAAGCGGTACTTATTGGTCTACTTACAATTGCATGTTTTTGAACTGCTAGGTTGGCAGAAAGTGGGGCTAACAGCTGTAGCTCACCCTGCTTCCTGGATTCAAACCGCTGACCTTTCGGTCAGCAAGTTCAGCAGCTCTGCAGTTTAATCCACTGCACCACCAGAAATCATTCAACAATTTCACTAATAACTTTGATAATTCTTCTTGATTGTTTTCCTTTGATTTTTCCCCCATTCACATTATCTAGTAAATCCCCATATGATCTTTTTACTTGCAAAATCAGTGAGAACTTTATATTCTTGTTTGTAGCATTTAAATCAAATACATCTGATGAATGGGTACTGAAATATGAACAATTGTTTCAGCCAACTATTCTAATTTGAAACAAACACACATACAAGTTTGAAACTACATTTAAGCAGTGCCAGAAACAAATGAACGTTCTCTATGATTACCCAGTCTTTGTCCAATTTTTCGGATTTCCTGATATGCATATATGAGCACTTATATAAGTAATCATTCTCTAAAATCAGTATTATTTTTTCCAAATAATAAATGGCTTTTGCTAAAATGGAGACCTAGAAATCCATTATTTTTTATCTGTCTGTTTATTTATTTATTCCATGAAACAGAAAAATAAAGTTAAGTAACAAATCAAATGGAATGGTTTAACATGCAGGAAACAGATCATCATCCAGCACTGATTAGTAAATCCCATGTATTATCAATCAATATTTTGAGCTGTTTCACACTTCGTATACCTCATCTGGGAAACCTATGTTTTATTCTGCCTTCCCAGAAAAATACTTTGCAGCTGCACTGTTTTGAAAAGTGAGGATATTTTAATGTACATATGCTCAGCATTACTGCCTTCAAATCAGAGATTTTTTAGGCTAATAAAATGTGGTAGAGAGAAGGAAATAGAAACAGTGAGGAGAATAAACAGAACACTTCTGAAGTCACCAATTGGGAGTGATCCAGGTTGAATCAAAACCTTCCATAGTATATTGCAGAACAGCATGATTTCCCATATTTTTTCAGACACTGCTGATCCCCTTACATAGCCTCTGAATCCTTGTATCAGTGATTGGAATGAACTGTTGGAGCATTGCTAGTTGTCTTTTGATTAGACAAGACATTGGTGGACTAAATGTGAACACAATATTGTATTAGTTTGAATTCTCCACCAACACTCATTCTGTCCCCCCTCCATTTTAGGATTACTTAACTGATGCTTGGACCAATTTGGAAAACAGTCCCTTTAGTTGCTGTTATGATTCCTGATGGAAATCATAGCATTTGAATTTAATCTGCAATTCATCTTCACTGTATTTCTTTTTTTTATAATATAATATTTATTGATTTTCAACTTACTTAG